GGATTGAGCCAAACACTTTTTTTTTTAACCAGAAAAAAATTAAGCTTTCTTTTGGGGCTTGGGGGGGGTGGGTGTCACTGTATTTCATCGCGAGTTGACAGATAGAATCCATCTCTCTGCTTTTCCCTCTGCGCCCTGACATGTCTCTGGGAAACGCTCACCACGTCCCCGCTTCAAAGAAAACTGCAGGTGTCTGGGAGAACTGGGGCGAGGAGGGAGCATGGGGACACAGTCAGGCCAAGGGGATATTTGCAGCTCAGCAGCCACGTCTGGGCACCCGAATGACATCAGGAAAAAAAAAAAAAGGAAAAAAAAGAAAAAAAAGAAGAAACCAACTTGGCTTTTGTCTGGGTAGATTTCTGGCCACTTCTATTTCTGCACATTGCTGAGAAGTACTAGATGCAGCAGTTACTATCTAGAGGATGATATTAGCTTTGCGTCCGCGTGATTCTAAGTAATTCCTTTCTGTAATGGGCTTAAAATGGAGCGTATGTTCCCATTTTTCTCAGTAGGCAGTTACGCTTCCCATCTGAAGTCACACAGCCTTAGACTGAGTTTCAGAAAGTTTTCTCAGCAAGAGCCTGAAATTGCAACGCAGTTCGATTTGTTGCTGAGGAAATCTGATTGATGGCTACAGCACCCTCTGCTTGCAAAACCCAACAGAAAGACAGGTCTTGGTACAATTTGGTCAAAAGGGTAAGCGACCCCACCCTAAAAGATGTAGGACTCTGTAGAGTAACTGGTCATCATAACACCTAGAAAAAGGCGTTCGTGAAAATAAAGTTGCCAATCTATAGAACTGTTTTGTGGGATAAACATGCAAATAATTTAAACAGGAGGAAAAATACACAATCAACCTTCTAGGTGTCACCGTAAAACTGTCACTATGGATGTGCCTCATCCCAAAGCAGCCTGCTGCAGCTCCACATGACCACAGCCAGTGGTTTTGGGAGTGGGTAGTTTGTTTAAAAAGGGATGTACAAGAGAAACGGTAATGAAAACACTCAGTAAGGCACAAATTGCATGAGGAACGTAAAAGTGTATCTCCAGTGACACCTTTATTCTCAGAAGGTGAGAGCAGTGATACATTGGTGGATCACTGAGCTAGCGATCTTTCATTCAATGTAGGGTTGGCATCATCTGCAGGAGGTTTATACCTGAGTAGAAAGAGCTGGGAGATACCAAATAAATGTGGTATGTCTTACATCTCCTTTTAAAAGTGTTCACATGACATTTTGTCACTCAGCTCTGGCTGAGGTCACCACCATTCCTTCCCACTTTCTGTGACACAGATCAGCCTGGAGGGTTTTCATCACACGTCCCAGATGTGTCCCTGCCTCCATAACCCAAATGGGATCATGCATTGTAGTTAGCAGAGCAGCCACAAATGGGGTGCAAGTGGGGGAGAAAACAGAACCAGAGATGGATTTTCCCAGTTGAAATAGCTCATGATCTCAGTGACAGGTTGCTAGGGGAAGAGGTTGTTCTGATAGTCACCTTGAAAATACCTTAACCTGGTGAGTAGGCATGAGACTGACACAGATTTCAACATGCAAAGGGTTCCATGACCAGCCAAGCCCATCACTTATCTACATGGGCCTCCAAGGTTGAGTCCTGAAGACCATTAAAAATGGTTTGAAGAGCACATTCACAGCAATATCAAGACAACCTGAACTATCCTGATGGAAGTGTTGCCCTCTATTTATCCTAGTTGTGCAGCATTTCCAAGAGCCATTTCAAAGCCAACCTCTTGGTTGTCATTGGGGCTATGGCCAGAACGACACTCTGTCCCTCAAAGCTGAACATTCAGCAGTAACTGAGCTGCTGAATGCTGCTTGATGGGCTCGTAGGGATGGGGCAGCTGAAAAGACTTGACTTCACCTGATCTGGCGGGGAACGCTGGGATTTGTTTAATCAGCTAGACAAACAACCTCCAGCACCTGCTCCCTTAGCAGAAGAGGCCAAGCAACTAATATTTTGCCGGATAAAAGTTTCCATCAAGTTCTCACCGGTGGGAGGGAGAATTCCCGGCAGCCCCTCTCTCCATCCCCCAGACCTGTTCACAAGGGCTGACCCCCACATGGAGGCAAATGTGGTCAACCTGGTTGCTCCCACCAGGCATGAGGACACATAGACCCAGTAATTTGGGCCAAATCTTTAGGTTTGGCTATTCCAGGCTTTTACTAGTGTTATCAGGAGCTGGTGAATTGCCAAAGGTTTGGCAGCTGATAAAAACGAGTGCCGTGCCAGATCCAGGGAAAACCCCAGGCTCAGAAGCAAGTTGCTAGCCCCAGCAGCTCTTTCCTACATGTTCCAAGGTCCCCGAGGGACATATTCTTTGACAACGCCATTGGAGGACGAGGCAAGCTCTGCATGTTGAGCAAGCTGAATTTCGCTGAGGCAGCGGTTCCCATGATCAAATTTTAACACTAACTGTAGTCGTTAAATAAATCAAGGCAGGAGCCGTGTTCCCAGACTTGCTGCTGCTTGTCATACACTGGCACATTGTTGTCCTGAGGTGGGATTCACTGCGCTCGGTGTTTGCCAGCTAAAAATTAAGCACCTTAAATTGAGCTGACTGAAAATGAAGCAGTCAAACACTAGCAGCCCTTGTCTCCTCCTCTAGACAAAGGAGACCGTTGAGCACTGCCACAGAATGATTCATCCCATCCTTAAAAAAAGTTAAGCCGGGGAATTAAGTTGCTTTCTGGACTTGCCCATTTGGCTCCGTTGACTATGGAGGGAGCTGAGACAGCTGGCTGAGACTTCAGAGCCGATGTTTAGACATCTGCTGAAAGGTGAATCCCAAGAAGGTGAGATTTCTGCCCCGGTGAGCAACCAGAGTTACCACCACACACGGATGGGTTTGGATACACATGGAGGGCACAGTGAGCAGAGGGGAAGGACAAACACTTCTGCAAGGCTGTGTGCTGCATCCAGCTCTGCCCCGGTTTCCTTCCTAAAGACCTCTCTCTAATCCATCTCCAAAACCTCTTTGCCTCAAAGGCAAACCTTTGCTCAGAAACCAGCTTTCACTGACCAAGAGGTTGCCCTGACAGCAGATGTGACTGACCACGTACACCCTGTAGCACCACCTTCTTCTGGGTGGGAGAAGGACAGACCAAACCAGTGTCAAGAAGATGTCACTTTCACAAGGCATTTATTATTATCCAGAACACAAATCCATCACCCGGAGGCAGGACCTGACGTTTGAGCCCATACAACGTGGGTAGGTGGGATCTGGATTGCCTCAGGAGTGTCAGCGCACAAGGTCAATCCTTGAAACAAATGAGTTTGCTCAACTGAGGGCGTCAGTGGACATGTATGTCAAATGCCTGCCTACCTACACCTGCCATCTGCTCCTCCACTGCAGAGCCTGTCCCTCTTTTCTGGTGCCAGGACAAGGCTGGCCAGCTGTGCATGCTGTTGGCTGAGTGCTGAGCCTTGTTGGAACAGAGATGTGCTGTGTCTGTGAGCACCCAAGGTCTACTGGGTCCATCTTGCCCAGCAGCCCATGTCCTCATGTAAGAAAGCAGAAATCTGGGGAGACATGTTTACGGCTGAAGTAATGCCATTTTGTGTACAAAGGCTCCATTTTGATTTTTCAAAGGGCAACTCCTTTCCTTCTTGCACCTGCTATTTAATCAGAAATCCCAATAATCCTCAGAGAGAGATACGGATCTGATCAGCCCCTTGAAGACTGTTGATTGACACTGCCAACAAATGAGAGGCGTGGTGTCTCAGATGCTAGATGTCTCAGGAAAGAAGTTAGAATAAACAAAAACAGTTTTACTTGGATTCCCCCACAACACAGACTTTAAATGCAGTCAGTTGGGTGCCAGTGACACTGTCATTGGGAAGAGAAATCCCGAAGAAAGGAAAGCTAAGTGTGAGCCAAATGGGAACTGAAGAGCCAAGGTGCAAGTAACAGGGGTTCCCCTCATCTCAGCCAGGAAGCCTGGCCAGAAATGTCATGAAACCTTTCATCCCATGCCTGATGTATATTGTTTTGCTATTCTGTTTTATTTAATCTGGAAATAAATTGATGTATATGATACGACCGCCGTGATTAGCTATCATGGATGTCGTCATATCTTGGGTTTGGCTACATGGGGGTGGCTTGGGATGGCCACCTAGCTTACCTTGAGGAGATATTATCCTGCAAAGCGGCTAAGCCTGGGTCATGCTGGTGGATGGGAGAGGTCAGGAGACATGCTGAAGAGCCCCCAGTCCCCACAGGAAAGCTGGGGGGCAGCAGATGGCTCCTGCTCCTCCATGGTGCTGGGAATGGGTGATCCATGGTGGTGGGGATGAGCAGCAGCCCCAAAATGCCAACGCTGCCGTGACAGGAGCCATCCGTGCTGACCGACCCCTGTGCAGCAGGGGTGAAAAACAAAAACCAGCCCAGGAGAGCCTTGTTGCAAGAAGGAAATATTATTTAACGTGCATTGTGTTGGGAAAGGAAAACAAGGGTCCTGGCGCTGGGCCAGGTCCATTGGCTTCTTTTTTTTTTTTTTTTTTTCTCTTTTCTTTTCTTCTGGGCAATTGTTCTAGGGAGGCCAATTATTTTTTTTTTTTTTTTTGAGGGGGGTTGTTTTTTGCTTTGTTTTGTTTTCTTTGGTGTTTTCGGAGTTGACAATGCTCGGGGTAATTTCTCGGCGCTCTTCCTGTGTTTTGGCACAGGGGCTGCCCGAGCACTCGGCCGTGCTTCCTGTGGCAGAGACACCACCACCATGGCCATGGCCACCACCAGCGGCCTGCGGGTTGCATCATCGGGCGAGCAGGGGGCTTCTGGCCTGCCCCGGGGGGCAGGAGGGAGAGGGGAGGGAGCGGGGCAGCGGGGGTGAGTCAGTGTGGAAAGGCAGCACGCATTGCTGCGGGGTGACTCACCAGCCCTTAGGAAGAAAAAAAAAAAAAAAGAAAAAAAAAAAATTCCAGCCAAATTCTTTCGGGGAGGTAAACAAGGTCACGCAGCGCGGCGAGATCCTGTTTACCTGAGACAGGACGTCTTTGCAGAGCCGGCGCTGGAAGCGGGGGGACGGGTTGACATGACTCAGGGGTGGCCGACGTGGGGAGACGGGGCTGGGGCCACCTCTCAGCCTGAGGGACATGGTGAGTAGGGGGCGAACCCCCCACCGTGGGGCTGGATGCTCCCCTCTGTAGAGACTCACCCTGCCGCTCTGTGGCTCTGCCAGGGGGGAGAGCAGGTGGTGAGGGACCACTGGGTGACAGCAGGGCTGTGCCGGCACTTGATGTCCACCTCCAGCCCTCCCCTGGTGGCTCCAACCTGCTCCCAGCCTCCTGCCCCTACCCTGTCACAAGCGGGCACTTTGCCCCCCGGCCCCACGAGGAAGCCCCGGTGGCCACACGGTTAATCAGAGCCCATTCCAGACGCTGACTGAGTGTTTTTTCCTGATAACAAGACGTGTGTGAGTGTGCGTCGCTCGGGTGAATATCCTGTTCTTGCGACGGGCCGGAGATGTGGGGGGCAGCGGCGGGGGGGGCAGACGACAGGGCAGCGCGCCGGGATTTCGCATTCCTGGCATTCCTGCCTTGGCCAGCAGCGACTGCAAAACAGCCCAGCGGGGGGGACAGGGCACCCACGGGTGGCCACCTGCACACCCGTGCTTCACCTCCATCACTGCCTCCCCGGCGAGCCCAGCTGTAACACCAGGGTGAGGGGTAAGTATGGACCACCTCTCCGTGGCCACCATATCTCTAGATGGAAACAGCCCAACCCCTTCGGTGTCTCCTCTTTCCCTGGAGGTCTTGGCCCCTTTTCCATCACCTGTCCATAGATTTGACCATCCCAGCTGTGTCCTGGGAGTGCCTTCTCTTGCACTGCCCTCATGCTCTGGTTCCTGCAGCAGGACACATTGATGTGAATCCACCCGGGGGGCTCAGGGGCACCTGCTGCGGGATGAAATGCTGAGGAACGTTGCCAAGTCCTCGTGTCCTGCCTTCAGCCACCTCAATCAACCAGCAAAGACATCTTGCAAGGACTTTGCCCTCTGGTCTCACGGTCTGGGCTTTCACTGGATGAGAAAGTCCCACTGGGGTGTTGTGCATGGGGAGGGCAGGGATATATGGGAGCAGAAGTTACCCCGGTCTGCGCAGTTGAATTTAGCTCTCAATAAGCACAACTCTCCAGCCCCTTTCTTTTCCACAGTCTCCAACCCAGCAGCCAGGCTGAGCTTCTCACCAGGACCAGAGATGTGAAAGATGCTCAGCACTTCCCCTGCTCCCAAGCTGCCGTTGGGAACCAGCACAGTGATGGAGAATCCCACGGGACACCCTTCTTCTGTTGGCACTGCTTCAGCTCTCAGGGGTGAGGAAAGAACCCACAGCCCTGCTTCACACCAAAAAAAAACCCACAGAGTCCAAGGGTGCCCCTCACCTGGATGCCTGGACCCATTCCCAGCCCTTCTGCCCTTGAAGACGTGAGCCAGGATGTCCAATCCAATTTAAATTGCTGCAGCAAGAAGAGCTCTTTTCTTTCATCTTTTTTTTTCTTTTTCCCACCCTTTTTTCATTGACACAACAAACCAAACAGGGCCAACGCTGACCCTTGACCAGCGCTCCGTCATGATGTTTTTTTCTCACGGTCAAACCAAGAACCTCGGGTTCTTGCATAACCAGGTACTTGGGAAAAGAAAGATTTCTTTCTTTCTTTAAAACACACCCCTGTTCTGGCTCCTCCAGCTTCCCGCTTTCCCCTTTCACAACCTGGCAGGGTTTGGTAGCCTTCTCAGTGAAAGAGACACGTCTTGTAGCCCCAAGGACCACTAAAAAGAAGGAGAAGGAGAAAGGAGACTCCCCGGATCCCATCACCAGCTGCAGACACATGTGTTGGTGGAAGGGGAAGGGACGGGGAGGAAAGAGGATGGTGCCTCTGGTCACGTGCAGGACCCCGTTTTTGAGGAATTGAAAGCGTGTTAAATCTGCAAGATTTCAAACAAAAAAACCAAACCCAAGGATGCTTCTGCATTTTAGGAAGCGGCCGTTGCAGTCATGCCCCTGAGGGCTGGGCAGGCTTGCAGGAGGCTCTCGAGGGAGTCCTGGGGGTGATAGCCATCCCTGCAGCCATCGGGGGGAAAATTGGGGCACACTGGGCACGGGTTTGGCCCACGACTGGGTGGGGAGCAGGGATCCCAGCCTCATCCCAGAGCCTGCTGCCTTTGCCCTGGCAGCCATGGGGTGAGGAACTAGTGAGGTTTGGGCTTTGTTTAGCATTTGTCTGTTTGGGGGCGAGGGGGACTTATCACCAAACCTTGGTGGTTTTGGTAGATCTGTGTATTTCTTTGGTGCATTTCTGGTGGGGGAATCCCCCGTGACACAGGGTCGGGGTATCTGCGGGACTGCAGCCAACACCAGATGAGCCACCTTCGCTCACCGTGGAGGCAGGTCCTCTCTGTCTCAGGGCCTGGCTCCACAGAGAAGAGCTGCTGTGTGTCAATCCCAATTTTCTTCCCAGTGCAGAGGGCCTTTTTACTCCCCCACTGGAAGGGGACCAAGCCGCGCTGCAGAAGAACGCTTGGTGCAGGACAAGGCAAAGGGGGCTTCTGCAGCTTTGAACTCAGTCCCCAGTGCTGTGCAGGAGCTCCATGAGGAGCTCCACTTCTTCCTAAATTCCTTAATTTTAACTTCTTTTCAAACAGCTTTTTACATGTGCAGCTGAGGAGATATCTGGTATTGGGGAAAGGTGGGAAGATTTTGGACAACATATTGACAAGCATCTTATAAACAAATGTAATGACCCAGTGTCCATAGAAGGAGTGGTGTCAAAGTCTGACACTTGCTGGGAAAGCCTCTCTCAGCCTGATGATACTGCTTGGGAATGGGCATGCGTGAGTCTCGTGCTGCCCAGAGCAAAGGTCCAAAGATCAGGATCTTAATCAGAGGAACAAAGCTCCAGTCACTCAAAGACTTCAGCCCTGCCCAGAGCTCCCAAACAACTCAGGTCCTTGGGAATGGGAAAACCCCAGCAGAGATTTGCTGGACTCCCAGAGGATTACAGAATGACTAAACCTGTTAGGTCACCCAAATGATCTGCTTCCTTTTATGGTCAAAATCAAGCGTCAGAATCACAGGTTTCCTCTTTCCTTAGAACTGGGCTTTCTTGATACCACAAATCCTTCTTGCAATGCTAAAATTAAATGTCTGAAAGCACATGCATAGTGTTGCAATCTTGCTGCTTTGCTTACTGGTCTGTGTAATGCATGAGTTGAGTAACAAACAATAGAGGTTGGAAATAGCTGGGACCGAGATTTCCTCTTTCAATTGCAGAATTGTTTCCTTGACTGGTGCGTGCTTAAGCCAGGTGGCAAAATGCTTGCCCCAACCAAGTTTCCTGGCAAGCAGGAGGGGTCTTTGGGTGAGGGGTGGAAAGGAGTGAAAGAAAAAGCTCCCAAAAAGTAACTCCTGCCTTTCTCAGGTGTAGCTTCGCCCTCCTACTCCTTTGCAAGTTCACTGTCTCTCAGTGGCTGGTTCTCGCAGCTCTTTGCAAACTTCCCAGGTCCATTTTTAAGCCAGTGGATGGGACCTATTGCCACCCCATATGAGTGATGGAGACCTGAGATGCAGATACCCATACCCAGAGCCCCTCTGATACTGCCAGCACCTGGCACTGTGACCTCTCCCATCCAGTGACACATAGCCCAGGGAGCCAGGTCCTACCAGCCCTGATGGGAAGCATCAGAGCTTGTTGGTCTCCCAAATTCAAGAACTGCTGTGACCGATTACACACCCACCTTAGCTCAAAGTCCCAAGTGGAACCAGCTCCAGCTGAGCTTAGGCATCCAGGTCTCATCAGGCTCTTACTTCCCTCCACTCCAGTTCAACAGGGACTCAACACATTGGAGGTTTAGGGCCCACCTGCCTTACCCATGGCTTGGCAGGAGCCCTGGCAGGGAAGTTGTCATGTCCTGGTCTCCAGGGGAACCACTAGTCCATTGAACACAGGTGGGGAGCTTGCGATGGAGCAACTTTCCTGGATGCAGCAGACCCATCTGGATCTGACTGAGCAGGTAGAGTCACCTACACATACATGTTCCTGCTTCTGAAAAACCCAACCATTTCAGGTCTCCTCCAGACCCTGGTGTCCCTGGATTATCTGACTAAAATGTCTGTCTCTGCCGCATTCAACTGTTGTGACCCAGGAAAGGGACCCCAGGCTGGGAGGTGTAAGGTGGCTGCCTGTTGACCTTGTGACACTTTGGCTTTGTGGCCAGGGGTGCCCCAAAAGCCAGGGACACTGCCGGCAGCGATGATGTCCTTCTCCAGCTGCACCCACAGCGCAGGCGGAGCACCGCGGTGGGCACGGCAGCAACGTGCCAGCTCCCACCGTTTGCTGCCCCAGGGCCTCCGCTTCCCGGATGGGTGTTCACATGCATCCAGATTCCTTCAAGGTTTGGTGTTGGTCTTTTTTTAGTCCAGGTTCATAAATATTCATGTTTTCCAGCTGGCAAAAATCCCCTGTTGCTGGCTGGTCTTCCTCGGGGACCGGTGGTGGATCAGCCCTTGCTCTCCCTCGCCATGGCAGTGGGAAACCTCCAAGCCCCCACAGTTTCTCCTACACCCATCCACCCAACCCGGCCCTCCCTCCAAAAGGAGAAGCAGCTCCCTAACCCAAACCACTCCTAACCTCTTACTGGGTAAAAACCACACAGGATGAACTTGCAATCAAATATCCCACTTTCTAATGGCTGGGAGGGAAGGGAAAGGGGTTCAGCTCTGGGTTTGGGGACTGCACCTGGCTCCGCATCTGTGTTCAGAGCGGGAAACTGGGGCAAGCTTTCTGTCCCACACGGTAGCAGCATCTGGTTACTCTTTCCTGGCCACAAGCTTTGAAACCATCTACAAAACCTGAGTAAATAAATAAGTACAACAATAGGTCACAGTCTACCCAGTGGGACTATCCATGGAAAAGGGAAAATATGTATCATGGGGAAAAACTGCAAATCCTGTTCAGCTGCTCCTTTCTGTTTCACTTAACGCACTTGAAGGCGGCCGGGCTGGGAAAATGTTTTATTTGATTACCTGGCTGTTCACAGCAGCCTCAGTGGAGCCAGGAGAGACTCGTCCCAGCCAAATCCAAATGCAAAGAGCACCCATTTCAGTCCTTTTACAACAGCTGTGCTGTGGTTCATCCACATCAGCCACAGGAAAACCATGACCAGATGACAAAGTGGGTGGGATGCTCTGATCCTCCCTGGGGACAAACCTGCACCACTGGCCACCCACTGGCCATCCACCTCGCTGCAGCAGGTGCCGGTCTTGCCCTTCGTGAATCAAAATCCTCATCTGGATTTGTGCATCCTCCTGGGATGGAGCTGCCCCCTTGTCCAGCCTGGGATGCTCCAAAGCAGGGTTCCCTACAAGTGAGAGGTGCATTTCCCCTTTGCTCTTCCAGCCAGTGCTGCCTCAAACTTTCCAGGGCAAAGCTATGCTGCAATTGTGGTGTTTTGTCCATGGCCACTAGGTTTATGGGACACCAGGGAGAACCCCCCTTTTCCTCCCCTCCCCCTCTCCATGCAAGCATTTTGTTTTTCTTCTTGATTAGCGGAAAAAATTTCCGAACCTGTCAGAGGGAAGGAAGGTCTTTTCTCTCCCTCGGTCAATTAGTGAACTACAAACAATTTCCATCGTCATGGTGGAACACTTTTTCCACCTGAATCACACCTCTGCAGGCTTTAAAGGTGCAGCCCCCTTTGCACAGCCACCCCTGCCCCAAGAGATGCCCTGCCAGTGCCACACTGGAGTGGGAAGGAGATGGCTCTTCTGTGTCCTGCTTTACCCAGACATGCAGAGCCAGCCCAGGGCTTGGGGCATTGCAGGCACCTCCCAGAAATGCAGGCACCTCCCAGGGCTTTTCCTCACAGACATCAAACCAGCGTGTGCAGGGGTATGGCAAAGCCCCCTGCTCCTTTCTGGGAGCAGCTCATCCCCCACATGCCCAGATGTCATCTCTCCTGAGTGCCCCACTCACCCATAACACCCATGGAGCCTGCTGGCATCCCCAGCCGAGGCCTGGAGAGCAGTAAAGTCCCTCCAGGACCTCCTTCACACCTCACCTGGCTGAGCTCTGCTGCTCCACATGCAGCCCTACCTGCACTGGGGGACCCCAGCCCACTGGAGGAGAGAGAGAGCACCCCACCTGCCATGAGCCCTGCCGAGTGCCTCCTTACAGCCCCCTGCCTAATTCGGGCAGCCAAAGCCCTCGTGTGGGTGTGTGGTGTGGCTCACATATGACCCCATGCGTGTACACAGGGCTGTCTCTGTGCCAGACACTCGTGGGTCCATGCCTGATGTTGCTGGGGGAGAAGATCCCCTATGGGACATCCAGATCCCTCTGGCCAGTCCCCTCCCAGATGCCGTGTGCTGTGACCGGGCATGTGTGTCTGAATAAGGGCTTCTGTCTTGGAGCACACCTTGCTTCATTCATCAAACCTTTTCCTGAGCTGACCTCATTTGCTTTTGTCTCCAACGTCATCGCTCGCAGCCGCCCCGCGCTGCAGGGACCAGCAGTAGCTAACACCTTCTCCTCTGCTCTTCCCCACGCCTGCGCTGGGATTCATCCTGAAAAATAGTTTCTCCTCACATGGAAAACACCAGAGCAGGGCCTGGGTTCAGAACTTGCCTTCACTGACTGCATCGGCCAGCGGTGGCCAGGGCTGAAGGTCGGGGCATCCGGGAACTTGGGAGTTTCCAAAGCTGCCAGGGGAAGACCTGCAGCGGAGCTGCTTGCCCAGCAGCTCTGCACCATCTGTCCTTTCTTTTTGCAGCGCGTGCAAAAAACAAAATCACAGCAAACATTTTGAAACATCAACTGTCAAGTCACAAACCTCCCTGCTGCCCCGGTCCCTGCTGTGTCTGTGTCGCTTGCTTCATCGCTCGCAAACAGCTTCTTTTATTGAGTTAGTAATTACAAGGGGGTTGTTTCCCTCAAGGTTCTTTCCTCCCAGCTTCACCACAGCCTTTGCTGTGAACCCAAGGCAGCCCATCACGCTGGAGAGTCCCGTTTGGTGTCTGCCTGGCTGGGGGAGGAAAAATGGTAGGTGATCCTTGCCATAATTTTATATTTTGGTCTCTTCACCCTCCTGGCTCCTCCACCCAGAGCCCCACAGACCCACTGCTGCGAGTGGGGCTCACACCTTAACCCGGTGCCTGCACTCCCTGCAGGGAGGCCCTGGCGTTTGGAGTTCCCTCCACTTCCCACCCTCTTCTTGCTCCTTCTTTTGGGGGGCCTCTGTTGTTCCTTTAACCATGAGATGAAAGCCGAAAACAGCCGAGGCTGCCTGGCTTCCTCCCAATGTCTTTTAAGATGGGAGATTCCCAGGGCTGCAACAAGTTCAGTTGGTCACGGGCAGATCACAGCTCGGGGGGGGGGGCACAGTTTGGTCACGGGCTGCATGAAGGCAAGTGGGGAGCAGCTGCTCTCTCGGGTAAGGGGTTTTGTTGGTTTTTTGTTTGTTTTTTTTTTCCTAAATAGCTTTTAATCCTTCATATTTTCCTCCCTCTTTGTACACTGCTTTTCCCTTGGCACAGCCAGCTTCTCCGCCCCCAGGGTCCACCAGACACAGGTGCCTGGACAGTGAGATGGGGCCACCCTCCGACACATCCACATCCCAGCCTGGGATCCCACAGGATGGCAACGACTCCCACCAATCCCTTTCCCAGCTGCATCCGGAGCGAGGGGAGGCCAGGCAGAGGGACAGGGTGGCCATCGTGGGGGGGCACGGCTTACGCCAGGGAAGCGCAAGCAGAGCACAGGGAGGGGAACGCCTGTGTGGGCTTCATGACACGTGGCTGGGATGAAGAAGGGTCTTCCTTTGAGCCACGGCCAGGTGGGGGGGGAGTGCTTCAGTAGTTTGCATTCCTGAGTGCCAATAAAATTAGCAAACAGTCAAGGGTTTTCCTGGGTCTGGTGAGGAAACATTTGCAAAGTGATTTTTTGCTTTGTTTGGCCACGCAACGGCTTTGGCATTGCAAATCAAAGGATCACAGAATGCACTAGGTTGGCAGGGACCTCAAAGATCATCGAGTTCCAACCCCTCTGCCATGGGCAGAGACACCTCCCACCAGACCAGGTTGCTCAAAGCCCCATCCAGCCTGGCCTTGAACACCTCCAGGGATGGGGCATCCACAACTTCTCTGGAAGACCCTCAATGCTAAAAAGCCCCAAGCCTGGCTTTAAAACATGGAGGTTTGCTTTTTACACCTGAACGTCCCATCGAGCTCGCTCTCCTGTGTGCCTGCCGCTTTCAGGAGCCGTGTCCTCGCAGGAGGACCCACCACCAAAGCCTCTCTGCTGCCTCAGAGGCTGGATGCCTTTCCTCCAACAAAAGCTGAACCTCCCGTGGAACCACACACCCCGAGGCTGGGCCTGCAGGTGAAGCAGCAGCCGAGCAATTAAGCCAGGGAGAGTTGCCAAGACTCCCCGGGCTCCTCGGAGATCACCTGGTGAGCCAAGCTGGAGGAGATGCTTTTCCAGTGGCGTGCTGCAGCCCTCCTGGGGCTTGTTTTGGGATTTCTTTCCCGAGCTTGGCTTTGTGGGGTGGATGTAAAGCACCTGCTCGGGCTCCCTGCGCCCCGCGCTGACCCGTGCTGAACGGGTGCCAAGGGGCGGCCAGCGAACGGCCTCCGGGCCAGCTGCCGAGGTGTCAGCTCCAGGCGCCTGGGCCGGCGGCTTCTTTCAGCACCTATTCATTTCCAGCTGTTAAAAGCAAGAGGTGCACACTTGCAGATGGGGTTGCGTGCCTCCTCTTCTAGTTTGCCAGCCCCTAGGATGCTAAGCCCTTCACCCCATCCCACCCCAAAGCAGTCCAGGCTGATGTACCCATCCTTCCTGTACCTACTCTCTTTGCACCCTTCCCTCCCCAAATTCCTTGCAGAATGACCCTGAAGTTCAAAGAAGTCACACACCAAAAATGTTTCTTCTCACCAGGTTATCCTAAGGAAGTCAGAGCAGGGATGTGATTATTATTATCTTCTCGCAGGTAATTAGTGACAGAACGAGAGGGAATGGCTTCAAGCTTCAACAGGGGAGGCTTAGATTGAATATTAGGAAAGAATTTTTCACCGAAAGAGTGATAGGGCATTGGAACAGGCTGCCCAGGGAGGTGGTGGAGTCACCATCCCTGGATGTGTTTAAGGGCCGTTTAGATGCAGTGCTAAGGGACATGGTGTAGGGGAGGACTTTGTAGAGTAGGGTAGATGGTTGGACTCGATGATCCCAAGGGTCTCTTCCAACCTAGACGATTCTATGATTCTATGATTATCCTCGCTGTGATTTTGCCCGTGCTTTCCATCCTCGGAGGGCGGATGGAGCTCACCCCAACTCCATCTCCCTTCAGAGGATCAGGGAAAATGTGTCCTCACCGCAAAATGAACCACACTGGAGTGAGGTGCACACTCGGGAGCACCAGGCTTATTTGAGGACATTCTGGAGCACCACCTGGACACCAAGCTCCCCAGCTTCACGGTTGCAGCACAAGCCCCCACTTGGTTCTACGCTGGATTAGGGGTGCTGTGCGTGTGCTGGGGGGACCCCGAAATTGAGGTACCCTCAGTAGCCGCCTTTGCTCCCTGCGGCCTCGTGCCCAAGTGCCAGATGCGCGATACCTCCCGTGCTGGGAGGAAAGGGAAACGCAACGGCCTTTCCGAGGGAGGGAAGGACCGCCGTTGTCTAGACGATGTGACTCAGGAGGGAAAGGGCCGAGTGTTTGCACAGCTTTGGGGAGTGTAAACTGTCCCAAGCCCTTCAAAGCAGAGGAATCCGGAGATGGGATGAAAGCACAGGGAAATTCTGTCCGGGTGTCGGAACAGAGCAGCTACGGAGAAAAGGACCTTTTCGAGACGAAATCCCCAACACCTGAGTCATTTCAGCCCGGCCCGAGCGCTGGGGGACAGGCGGGAAGGAGGAGCGTGGCACCACCAGCCACGGGCAGGGCTGTGTGTGGGCTCCCAGGACTTTCCCAGCTCTGGTCACTTCTCTCTGCAATCTCAGAATTAACTGTCCTGAAAAAGAAACTGGAGGCCCTGGGAATCCCGCTCTGCCCCAGGGTGAGCTGGGTTGCCCTCTGCACTTCATTCAGCTCACAAAAGAAAGAGAAAATGCTTTTTGAGAGGTGGTTTCCTTTTTTTTTCTTTTTTTTTTTTTTTTTTTTGTACAACTTTAAATACAGTACTGAGTATAAATTAATCTTACATTAAAAAAAAAAAGGCAAAAAAAATTAAAATAAAATCTCACCATCTTTACAAACCAAAGGAAACAGATTTTGGAACAGGAAAACAAAGTGTCTTAAGACTTGAGGGCTTGGGGATGGAGGGAGGGAGGGAGCAATGTGGTGCCTTGGCAGTGGTACGAGAAGTGCTCTGGGCTTGCAGGAGGCAAGGGCTGGGTCCCTCCACAACTTGTGACAGCTCCCGGGTTGCAGCTTCGCCTCCTTCCCCCAGCTCCCTCCGGAGCTTTGCCCCAAAACAGGGGTGCGTGTGCGTGCGAGGGGGGAAGCGGCTGGAGGCAGGAGGGGAAGAGCTGCCACGCCAGCTCTGGTCAGGCATTTTCTTCATGTGTAACTCTGTAGTGCCCAGCACGGTATGATCCGAGACCGGGTCTCTGAGGTGACACTGGAAATTCCCATCGTATGTAGCATTTCTGCTAATGGTGACTAAGTACTAGGTGTGCAGAAATAGCCCCCGCACACAGAGTCCTCTTCTCTCCTCTGGAGCAGGCAGTGGCCCAGGAGGAGCTCTACAACTGACCATCCAGTTCTTCTCCAAGTCCTCCTCACTTAGAAGAGCTCATTTCTGTCTCATACAGCTGCTGCCAACTGCAAAGACCATCCTCATTTCCTTCCCTATACCTACACTGAGCTGCCCACAGCTTGGACCAACTTCCAAGCTAGGTAGGCTGGAAACACCTAACGGGCAAAAATCCATAAGGAATTGGGGAGGGAAAATGTGAGGAAAACGATGGGAGATGCGGGGTCATTGGCCGGGAGAGAATGGTGAAGATATGATGTGCAGGACACCTGCTGAAAGGGTTAAAAACCTCGGGGGAATGACATGATTCTGCTTTGAGGACCACAGAGCAGGCAAGGACAGCTCACTGAGATTAAGTCATGCTTCTAAGTTTGGCTGTTGTTGGTCTTGTTGTGGTGCCGCTTGGCCTCCTGCAAGGAAGTTGTGCTGGGGGGGGGGTTGGTGGAGAGCGAGAAGAGAAAAGGGCAACAAGACAGAGAGAGATCAGATGATGTCTCTGCCCGTCCCGGACCTCGCAGGCACGTTGCAGTAACAGTGTGCTTTTCTGCCAGCCCAACGAAGCCGATGGATGCACGTGCCTCTGAGCTTACTGCCACCGGAGAATGAGATCCATTTAAGAACATATATATATATATACACATATATTTATATATGTATGTATAAATACACATACACACACACGCACGCACGCACACGTATATATATATATATATACACACACATATACACGCGCACACATACAGAGCAAATTTAAAAAATAATTTTGAGTCCAAGCCTGGAAAGTTGAATTCTCCACCAGCATGTGCAAAGATGGCTCCCCTTGGCAGGGGCCGGGGGGGTGGAGACGATTCTGCCGCCGTCTGCTCCTTCCCCACAATCCAAACACCTTCCAGTCAGCACCAGGAGCAGGAGGGGAAAGGGAGGGGGGGAAAACATTTGGCTTCTTTGTTGGCTTTTTTTGTTTGTTTGTTTGTTTGTTTGTTTGTTTTTGTTCTGTTCCCCGAGATGTTGTATGTCTTAGTGGTTTTGGTTTTTCTTTTTTAAAATAAAATATACACACGCATGTTAAAAATATATATCTGTCCAGGTAGGGAGATAAAAGTCCTTAGTGCATTTTCCATCATCAGTTGCTGCTAGCAGTCTGAGATATGCCTGTTTTCAAAACGTAGGTCCAGTGCAAGTGTTGATCTCAGCCAGGCCCCCCAGCCTTACCAGAAACACGAGGCAAAGAGAGAATATTCCCCTTCCACCCTCTGTCCGTTTGTTTTTCTCCTCCTCTTGGAAGAAATTGGACCCACTTTCCTTTTCACATTTTCCATCCTGTCCTCTGGAGCAGGGAAGGCATTGTCCTGTCCTCGTTGCATATTGTGGCTGTCGAGGCTCGTGGTTTTATTTGAACTTTGTTCTTTTCTCATATATATATATATATATAGGTCATGTTTGTCCTTTTTTTTCTTGTGTGTAAAACTTTAAAATTCTGCTAATAAATGAAAGAAGGGAGAGGCTTTGGTGGGAGAAGGTCCACTGATGGAAAGGGAAGCACCAATTGCCGTCTGAATCAGACGTCGAGGCAGACGGACAAAGAGGAAAAGTTATCACTCCAAGGACCCCATGGGGGCAATACAGCAAATCTATTAAATAAACCTGGAAGTGAAACAAAAACAGACACAGAATTAGCATATGTAACCCTCTGCCCCTGCAACTCCCCTCCTCTCCCTTTTTCTGCTCTGGAAATGTTTGTGTTGAAGTGCCAGATTAGAAGCCCAGGAGGGCTTTTGAGCTTCTCTATTTTTTCCCCTGGACAGCTTGAGCCAGAGCTGAGATTTGCATGGGTTTGCATCATTTCTACCCTGGGAACCTTGGGCTGGCCAGGAGGATCCTGGGATAATCACAGCCCTCGTAGCACTAAGCGTGGGAATAGCGATCCCCAGGCACCGCCTGGTGCCCCCCGTCCCCTTGTCCTGAAATGCCACATGGTGGAAGCTCATCATCCCCTCTCCTGAGGTGAGGGCAAGTGAATCTGAAGTGAGTGGCCAAGGCTCGTTCAAGGGGCTGTGGCAGAGCTGGAGCTTCTGAGTCCCAAGCCAGGGCTTACCCTATTAGGCTGTGCCGCCTCTCTCTAAATTCAGCCCCATAGGTCCGAATTGCTTTGGACTTTCTGCACTTCCTTTTCTGCACCTTTCCCTCTCTCATGGGCAACCGGGGCTTATTCTCCTTTCCCTTGTACCAGTGAAATTCTTCTGATGACGAGGGAATTACTCCTGTTTACACAAGTCAGGGAGAGAAGAATCAGACCCTGGACTGACAAAGTCCAGATCTCTTGCCAGAGATTCCAGCTCTCCTTTCCCCTGGTATGACCTTTCTTATGCACACAGGCTTCCCAGTAGGAGAGAGATGAACCAAAAATGTTGCTGGTTTTTGTTTTTTTTTTTTTCCTCCACTCTTTCTGCCAACTCAACTAATGAAATAAAAGGAAAAGGGGTCCCCAGAGCAACATTAATTCTCTGCTTTCAGCGGAGAATCAATAAAGGAGAACAGGAGTTGCTCCAGAGAAGAGATGAATTACACGGACCCCAAGGGGATTTAGGTGCAGAGGGAAGTCAGGCTCGCTCTCTGCCTGTGAGGGAGGCAGAGAAAGCAGAGGGCAGGGCCTGAGAGCACGTATGGTTGCAGCATGATCCCTCCACCTCTGCAAAGAGCCATAAAGCCATAAACAGGACACATGTGTTGGGTCTCAGCCTAAACCTTCCCCATCCTTCACCCCCGGCTCTGTCACACCTAGGCCCTGCAGAAGCCCCACACGAAATGAGGGGCTGGTACTGTGGGAAGCGTTGGAGGTGCTCGGGCAGAACCGTGTCCTGGGAGAGCGTTTCTCCCAACTGGACAAGCAGCTTGCTGTTACCTGCCTTGTGCTCTCTCTCCCCTGCCAGCACTTCTATGCTATGAGGATTTCTTTCAGCACTTTCTTATCGTTGACATGCTTGTACTTCTTATGTTTCCTCTTCTGCACCGGCGGTCGGCGTACTCGCTGCCTCTGTGAGACAGCGGCTGTGGTGAACGACGGCGACAAGCCTGCCAAAACAGAGGGGAGAGTGTCTGTACAGCGAGGGGCAGCCGGGTCACGCTCAAATATCTTTCTCCACACACTGTCAACCAAGAGCTCTGCAACAGTAGGGCCACAGGGCCTCCTTCTCCTGTTCTTCTGTCCCTTGTCCTCTGTTCTCCACCGTCCCTGCCCTCTCCCTTTTACCACGGTGTCCTTCCTCTCACCTCTCACCTTCCCCTCCTGCATTTCCCTCGGTTTCAGCCCCTTGCTGGCAGGCAGACATCCTGGGAAAGGTCCCTCAGTTGGTATAAACCAGCGAGGGCCCATGGGATTCACTGGAGCAAAGCAGATTAAAACCAGGGGAGGGCTCTTTCCCCTCTCCCCAGCCTCTCTTCTCACGCCTCCCTCCACTCTACCCATGCCAAGATCCTTACGTTTCTGTTCGCGCGGCCCCGGCCGGCTGCTCCTGGGGGGCTGACGGGACACTGCTTCACACCGGCACTGCACGTGGTCCTCCAAAGGCACAACGACTTTTTTGAATTTTGGCTTCCTCTGGACAAATTCGATCTTGTTCACCTGTTGGGAAGAGAGAGGCAAGGAAAAGATGAAGCCAGCTGCGGCTCCCACTCTGTAAAAATCATCAGTGTTAGTACCCTTCAGTACTGGCTTTCTTCCCAAAGGGTCAGAAGGCAGTTTATAGAGCACGGGTCAGACCCAGGGGTGGTGTGGATGGGAGGTAATTCTGTGCAGACCAGCAGAGCAGAGCAGACCTAGACCAGGCAAGTTGGGATGTGACCGGTTGTTTTCCCCCATTCCCAAATGCTGCCGCTGCTTAAGCAGGATGGCTGGGTCACCACAGGCAGGAACGAGGGACATGCAGAACACACCAGCCTGTTTCTGACAGCTGCGGTGGCAGGGACCTAGGGGCAACCAGAATTAATTCCCACAGGATCCTAGAGGAAGGGCGAAAGGAGAAAGGCTCAGGCCCCATGCAAGCAAACGCAGCTTCCCCGGCTCTGCCGAGGCCTGTCTGAATTTGTCTCCAGCTCTCAGCTCTGCGTTTCAGGGGAAAGGCGGTGCTCTGGAAATTCCCTCGGACTCTCCACCAGCGCTGACTCAGAGGGAAGACTCACTGCTCCACATCCCACCACGGGGCACGAGCCTTCTAGGGGGGGTCCTCCCACTCCAGGAGCAGCCGAGCCTGACCCCACTGGGCTTATCTAACGAGGCCGCGGTGCCTGAAGTGCTCCACAAGCTATAAATACTTGCTCTGCCGCGCGCCCGGGATTGAATTCCTCCAAACCCACTGCCCCCAGCAGCATCCCTCCGCAGCAGCCAGGCTGTTTATCTTTCCTTGAAAGCCCACTCCACACGCTTCGGACCACACGCTGCTCGCTAGACAAACACTTCCAGCCAAACAATAGAGAGACCTCTGTCCTCAAAGAAACCATTTCCAGGTCACTTTTTCAGCCTGGCTTTTGACCTCTCACTTGTTTTTTCCACAAAAACAACTCCTGCTCCCCCCGCACGCATCCACCCCCCCCCCCATTTTTCCCTCATTCGGCCTGGCTTTTCTGAGAAAGGAATTTCCTGATGAGAAGGGCTGTGTGAACACAACCTCTCCCAGCCAACCTCTGCCGCCTGCCTGGGGGAGTCTCTTACGGCTCAGGCAGTGGATTAGTATGGGATGAGTATTATTTTTAAACAAGCTGTCTGAGAGGAAGCTGCGAGGAGATCACTGGTAGCCGTGAGGATGGGAGCAAGAGGTTAGCCATCAGGTGCCTGCTTGCTGCTGGGGCGGCTCAGGAGGTAACCGTGGGGCTGAGAAAGAGGAGAAGCAGCTCCAGTGGGTGTTCTTGGGAAGAAGCTGCGGCAGCGGGAGGGATGGAGACCACCACTGCAAGCCCCCCTCTTTTTGCATCGAAAACAGTTCCTGCGGTGGAAGTGCCCTGGTTCTTCTGCTCTCATAGAGCAGAGGAGGCCACCTCCAGCCACAGAATCAGCCGTGGCGTGGGAGCTGCAGCTGGGGATGGTGGCCCTGTGGCTCCACTGCGGTGACAGTCCCCAGCTGCTGGATGGCACCATCCCTCCCGGCAGCCATCAGGGATGTCACCCTGCATCCCACACCCTGCAGGGATGTCACCCACACCCCGCCAGAGGCTGCAGTGCTTCGTGGCTAACGCAGAAGACATGACTGCAGAAGGGGGTACCAGGGAAGAGACAGCTGTGTGAGCCTTGTGCCCCGAGCGCCGCTGCGGTTTTGGGTTTTTGGGGGGTAGGGATGGAGGTGGCCTGTGGGAGGAAGGAGCAGCAGGAATCGTCTCCCTCACCTGGACGTGCCGGACACGAATCTGGGTGGGCCGACACTGCACGTTGCGGTTGTTGCAACAGCCGGAGCAGCGCTGCACCTCCACGCAGGGCGGCCACACCACAAAGTTGGCGTTGGTGCTGTCCACCATGTTGCGGGAGATTTCAAAGACCACCGCCCGCGTCTTGCACTCGGCGAGGACAGCTGGCTCTGCTGCTGCCAGAGCATCTGTGGAGGGCCAAGAGAAGAAGGGGAGATGAAACAGGCTTTGCAGCTGTTACCAACCCGCTACTGGAGGAGAAAGACCCCACACGGCTTTCCCTGACACACATATGTTCTTTCTCCTTCTCCCACCCCTCCAGCCCCCTCCCTGGACAGAGCTGTGCCTTGTGGAGGAGCCCTCAGTAACAAGATACTTCTCACTGCAGGGACAGTCCTAGGCAGGAGATGACACTTCTTTAGAGCAAATCAGCACCAGTAGGATTTAAAGCAGAGCATCTTGCAGAGCTCCAGAATCCTCTCCTGCCCTCCTAGAGCCTAACACCCAGCTCCTGTGTGAGGCCCAGACCCTCCTTCTCATCTGTCTACACATCCATGCGCACTATAACCTCTACCCCCCCAAAATATATATCTCAGATGTGCATCTGCACCCACCCACAGCTGCTCAGGTGAGGGCCCCAACAGTCCTGAGGTGCAACACCCCCCACTCACCTAGGCTTCGTCGCTCTCGTGACAGGGCCACAGGGTTTTGACCAGGTTGAGATGCGTTCAGGTCCAGGCTCAAGCTATCCTCCTCTGAAAAGGGAAATACATGATCTAATAGTGGCAGGCAGAGGCAGAAGGAGACAGCAGGCACTTGTGCTCTCTTCATCAGGCAAAGTGCAGAGATGTGGGATAAGCCACAGCCCCAGTATGTCACGTTAGGTGTAAATCCACCAGCAAGGTCACAGCTTTGCTGGGGCATGGAGACCCTGGGTTTGCTCTTGGCTCAGACTAGGCAGCTCAAAGCAACAAGACTATGGTGAGAGCGGGGTCCCCGTCAGGTCTGGGAGAGGAAAGCTCCAGCTCAAGAATGACAAGGCCTGCAGCAGGGCTTTCTGGTGTCAGAGAGAAGTAGAAAAGGGATTCAGAGCAGCCATCTGAGACCAGGATACAGCAAGGAGGGTCAAAGATCAGATGGGACCAGCAGAAAGTTTGGTATATAACATTTGCTGGGATGTCTTGGGACTGGGAGAGCTGAGGTTTGAGGGGGCAAGTGAAGGGGATGATGGATGGGAGGTGGGGTGCCCGCTTTCTTTCTCTCAACCCACCACAGCCACTCTAGGTTAGAGTCAGTTTTATGACAGAAGAACAGAACAATAAAGTTGAAATGGCTTTTTCCCCTATCCTACTCTAAGGTAAGCTGCAGGATCTGGAGGTAGTTCAGTCAGTGATGGGAGAGGAAGGCAGATAGCATTCAGGCCAGCCCTGAGCAGTTCCCTCCCACCCCACTGCTTTTTCCCATAGGAAGCGCTGAATAGAGAAATGCCCATAATCCCCATGGAGCACTCCAACACGCAGCCCCTCCTGAGCTCCGGACAATGGCCGCGCTCGGAGATAGCTCCCACCCAGCCACAGCTCTTTCCTTCTCCGACCTGCTTTAGCAGCTGAAGGAAGCTGAATGGACGTCAGCATCAAGGGAGCAATTTTCTTGAAGGGAAATTTGGGGCCAGTGGAAGATCTCTGTTTATCAGATATGCGGTGGAGCAGACTTCCCATAACTATCATGTCCCATCCCTCTTCCTCGGTCCTGCCCTAATGCAGTCCTCTTATAAGGGGGAGCAGGGACATTGTCCTCTGCTCAGCTCTGAAGCAATTGCTGAAGGATTTGGGATGTGTGGACAAAGGCTATATTCACAAGGCAGGAATCATGTGCCTGAGCAGTCAACATCTATGTGTAAGATGGACAGACACACACCCTTTAAAGCAGCTGGAGAGGTGTGATCAATTCTAGGACACCATTCATCTCACCCAAAGGCAGACACCCAAAATGAGATCTGGTGGATCATGCTCTAGAAGGGTATGTAGTTCTCCAGAAGCTACAGAGGGTGTCTGGATGACTGGCTTAGATGGTCATGCCTGCTTTGTGGGCAGTCAAAATTAAGGGAGATGACCCCCACTCTCCACACCTCTGCTGTTTGGTCTACCTCAGTGTCTAAGGTCGGAGAGCAATATCTCAGCTCATCTTCCTCCTGAAGATGCCTAATCCTAGGTCCCTGTGCAGTCAGTGGAGGGCAGCAGTTGTGACACATACAGGGTGCGTGGGTAGCACAGGGGAATAGCTCCAGCTGATTATTTGGGATTGTTTTGCTAATACACTAATTTCACACAGGGCAAGCAAACGGTGATGCCCCTTGGTCACTACCTGGGAGCAGAGGAGAGCCACAGGGTGTAACGAAGAGATAACTTCCCAACACCGTCTCCTGTTTCCCTGACCAGCCTTTCCCATCTGGGACCTGAAGTGAAACCAGCGACTCAAAGCTCTGCAGCCTTCTCCCATACCCCTGGGCTTTCCAAGCCAATGTGAGAAGCCCATTTTATTTCTGAACCGTGAGGGCGGTTAGTAACTGCGATAGAGATGTAGCTGTTCCTTAGACACGGGGACATGACAGACTGCACGCATCTTCTCAGCCGCTCCTTCCCCACCCCTCCATCCCGCGCCGCCTGGCATCTTATCAAACGAGGGTGGGGGCTGCCTTTTGCGCAGAGGTTGAGTTAATGAGTGCAGAGAGACAGAGGTGGGGGGGGAAACAGCAACAACTGTTGACACGAAACAAATCTCCCATTGAAAACCATATCCCTCCCTCCCCCAGGTTGTCCTTCTACACCCCGGGTCAGCACTGAAGAGGGTTTGGGCGGCGGGGGGGACCAGCCTGGGACAATCCAGCAGAGGCTAATTTTGGAAGTTGCCCCATTGTGTGGCTCGTGGACGAGGAGGAGGGAACTGGTGAGGGCAGGGAGCGGCCGTGGCGGTGGTGGGGAGCCTGGTCGCCTCTTTCTAAGGCAAACAATAGCTGAACGCAGCTGGTGCCCTCCCCCTCGCTTTCCCCCCCCTGCCCCTCCAGGGCCGTTTTGAAAGGCAGCGGGAATGCTTTTGAGACTGCGCCAGTGGTTGGACTGGCATAGGAAACAAAAGCAGGAAATTCTGTTCCCCCGTAGATAGTGTCTCGGCAAGGATTACAAAGCTCCAAACAGACAAAACACGAGAGAGAAGGCGAGCTGGGGGGGCCGGGGGACGACGGGCGGGAGCAGGGTTAGAATAGAAAGGAATTTGCTCTGAAGAGACCGTTTATAAATAAATTCCTGGGCCAGCCCCGCCGCCGTGGCGCGTGCTCCAATTCCCACACGTGCCGACCCCTCCACGCTTCGCCGCTCCTGCCGCTGGCCACGCTCAGCCTGGCCAAGTGACCCCGAGGCACTGCAGCCCCCGGAGCTCTTATCTACGGGCAGGAGGTGAAGCCACGCTACCCTGACTTAGCCCCTGTCCCGCATCTCACCCCCGGACACGTGCTCGGCTGCTCCCGTCCTAAGAGCCTCTGGGAGCCCGTGGGCTTTTGGGGATGCTAAACTTGGGAACCCACTCAGCCCTTTCCTCCTCTGTCACTCGATTTCCACCTCCTAAACTGATCCTTGGCCAATTCAAGCCCTGCTGCCTGGGTCAAAAGTGCTGACCTCAGTTCCTCACACTCAGCTTGCCCACCTCCTATCATTTTTGGAAGCCAGTATCCCTCAAGAGACCAGGCAGTTAGGAGAAGATCTAAAAAAACATCTAGTTGCCTAACTCCCACACGTTTCAGGGGAGCGAGGTGTGTAAATACCCAGGTCTTGGCTCCTGAATGGTTCCTATATTTATAGTGAGGTCTGTTGATAGTGTGCCTGCTGGAAAAGAGAATATTCCCTCCCTCCCCACCAAAGAGTTAAGAAAAAAATAGAGGAGTGTTTGGTGAAGAGGAGATTTACCTACGGAGTCTATCCGCAGGGCACGCTGGAGGTCGCTGATGGAGCGCACTGAGCTGCCACCCAAAATCTCATAAATGTCTTCGGGTATGGGGTCCCCCTGCCAGATGACAAAAAGAAAAGAAGGGGAGAAACAAGCGTTAGAGGGGTGATCTGCAAATACTGCATCACGGAGCGGGAGCGGAGGGAATCAAGGGAGCGCGGACGAGGCACAACAGAACCAGCAAAATGCAAAGACGTGCCCTCATGAAGTCACGAGCCTGAAATCTGGGCAAAAGCAAGACAGCCCCAGAGAGCCCCACTTGCTGCCTCTCACAAAGCGGATGGGAAACTGAAAAAGCCCAAAAATGCCCTGGGCTGCACAGCAGAGCCTTGAATGCGATGCAAGCAGCCAGCAAGGCTTCCTTCTCCAGTGCTGTATGACTTCTCCAGGTGGCCTCTCATTCCTGCTGCCTGCAGTAAAGGCGTTTTAACAGACTTCCCTTACACTATCAGATAAAACCTTCCCAATATTTCCCTCTGTTATGAAACTCCCTCACGGGCTTTGTGAGATATCGTGTGTGTGTGCGTGTGCGTGCGCGTGTGTTTTCAAACCACAGCGGCCCAATAATATACACCATTTGCATACTCGTTTAAAAAAAAAAAGTTGGGGTTGGAGAGGAAGATTGACCTTCGCAGCTGAGCTGGCTGCTCCAGCATGAGCCTGGGGTGAAACCACCAACGCTGCAGGGAGGACGTGAAAGGCTGCTGGAGGTGGTGGGCTGAGGAGCTGATTTGGATGAAGAAACCCATGGGAGCTTTGGGTGTCGTAGCAGGGCTAGTGCCAAAAAAAAGCTTAAGTAAGCAGGTTTGCAGGTATCAGACGGTGGGCCAAATTCAGGGTTTGTGCAGGCAGGTGCAACGCCATCAATCTCTTGGGAATTTTACTCTGGCACCAGGCTTGAATGGGCCCCGGTGACAGCACTTCATAAGACTACAAAGGAGCGGTGTGGGAAAGCAAGCACTGATTAAAACGTACTTCCGAAAGACTAGAAAAAGAGACGGAGGAAAGTACTGGCCAAAGTGTTTGCTTAGCTCCTAGCTCTCTTCTTTCAGGGCTACTCATGCGGAAAAGCTGCTCTTTCAGCCGGGTGCTGGATGCCGTCTGAGCCACAGCCCTACACATGCCCCTGTAACTGAGAGGAGAACTTGGCTCGTGTGCTTGTGAGATGCTGGGATTTTCGTGTGGGTTTTTATGGACAGTTGGTGGCACGTGTGTGGTCCTTCTCATGTACAGCTATTCATTCCCTGCCTGCGTTCAGCGCAGAACATTTCCCTTCTGCTCGGAGCAGAGGAAAACCCCCAGGCAGGCGGTTAAACGTTGGCTTTTAAACCATAAGGGCTTTAGCCAAGCCTATGGCTACTCATGCATGGCTGCTTGAGCATGGCACCCTCCCACACGTGCCAGTCCCTTGGCCACCCGCCTTTTGCTTCTGCTGTCAGGGCAATAGGAGTTCTCCCTCCTCAGCCCTTCTAGGCCACCTATAACTTAAACTAAGACATAGGGGGCTTGAAGGCTGCTGCAGCCCAAGTCACAGGGCAAAAATCTCCTGGGATAGCAGATAACACTAGTGTCTTAAACCTCCTCAGCCAGATCCACCAGAGAGCTCCAGTCAGATCGAGCCTCTCTGCCCGGCTCCGTCCCTGTCGCTGTCACATCTCACCACAGATCTGGCTGCCCGCCTGCAGCAAAAAGCAGATTTTAGATCCCCAGGCATTACTTCTTCAGTCTCCAAGGGAGAGGGAAGCAGCGTCAGTGATTGAACGCACGGCGAGAGAGAGACTCGTGTGATTCAGGGATCACTGAATAGCTGCGAAATGAAGATGCCTTCTGACAACTCCTGCCGCGCCAGGAAGAGTGGGACTGAGAGCCCAGAGCCGGAGAGGCTCTGCAGCACTGCCCTGCCCTGCGCCACACACGGCGTTCACCGGGGAAGGGATCATTTGCAATTCCCACTACTTGCAGCCAGAGCTCAGGGCTGGGCGGTGAAATTGCAGGCTTTTTAATGTTGGCACCTGTCAGCCGAGCGCATTTGTGCACAAACGCTGCTCCGCACGGGTGCCCCTGGTCCTTCCTGACACTTAATACGTGTAGGAAATGGAACTTTTATTTTAAACTCGGGCACTCGCTGGGGGAGAGCGTGGGCAGGTGTTACGGGAGTCGGTGACTTTGGAGGCGAGCTGGGAGGTGTCACCTTGCTAACTGAGCAGGGGAAAGAGATATGAATCAGGGACTGCAAATGCAGGCCCTCAGGAGCCGGATTGCTGGGGACTGACTGCCTGTAGGAATAAGCTCCACTCCCTGCTCACAGCAGCAGTTTTAGGTGCCAATTTTTTCTTGTTGCAGATACTATCAGCATGGCTACGGCATATCACCAGACCACATGGCTCATAATCCTGTCCTCCTCCCCGGGGTTTGTGAGGCAGCTCTGCCAGTGACAACCACAAGCCTGTGAAGCTCCTTCCTTTCCTCTTGTGCCACAGAACCGTGTCCAAGGCTGGCCTAAGAGCAGTTACCTGAGCTGGACCTCTTGTCCTTGCTCCCTTTGGGGTCTGTGACTGGGAACAGACATGCCTTTGCCCCCCCCATGCCAACCCTGTGCCTGGGAAGCTCTGAGATCTGGGCACTGCACATACCCAGGCTTGGGGCACTTGGTGGGAATGGGACACGGGGAAGCAGAGGTCCACCAGCCACCTCCACCTGATCCCACGGGGTCAGAAGGTGGAGGAGCAATGCAGGTGGTGGGATGCCCAGCAGACCAGCCCAAGCAGCCAGTGCTTTTCCTGCTTAGCAGCTCCTCTGGAACTATTTGTCTAACACAGGTTAACAATCTCCTTTTTTAACTGCACGGCAGATCAAAGAAGACTTTTGTCTCAATGGACTCCTGGCTGGCTGTCAAGTGCCCCAAGGCCTGGCCTCGTATTCCTGCGAGGCCCTGAATTCCTAGAAGAAAGTGAGTTTGTTCTTCCTTCCCTCCCTCCCTCTGCCCGCAGTGCCTGGATCCCACCCCGAACCATGGGGGCACACCCCACTCTTCCAGTCCCCTGCGAGGGACGCCCCCTCCCCTTCTCCTGGCTGCTGTCACTTGGGGGGCAAGAGCCCACGGCACACCTGAGACAAGGCAGCAGAGCACCCGGGTGGCTGTGACACCGTGGGGGCCTCTTGGCTGCATCCCCTTTGCCTCCCTCCTCCCAGACGCCAGCAGTGCTCTTTGGCAGCATCCCCCCTCCCCACACATAGCTTGTCCCCAAAATCAGCCTTCTCCCTAAATCCCACCACCCCCTCCTTCTGGAGCTTTCTGCCAATGTGTGCTTTAGAGCACCGGGGATGGTAGCTGCTGCCGAGGTGGCACGCAGGGCTGTGGTCCAGTCCTCCCTCCGGCTGTTCACAGGCAAGAGTCTCCTCTGGCCCAGAGGTGCGTCTCACCCGGCAGCACAGCAGATACCCAGGAGGAGGGAGTGAAGATTGTGCAACCAGCAGGGAAAGCAGACCCTCAGGGCTCGAAGGAACCAGCCAAGGACACTCCCAAGGTGAGGACTCCTCCAGTCCTCTTTTTTTTTTTTTGGGTCTACGCACCCACGTGTGACTGCACAGGGAAGGAGAGAAGGGCAGCGGCAGCACCCGGCTGTCTGCTCCTCTGCCCAGGAGAGGAGGACTTTCCCAAGCACCTCCACACAGACCACGGCAGGGGATCTTGGCAGCAGGGTCTCGAGCGATCAGCCAGGCAAAAAAAACCCCAAACAAACAGCATTTTTTAATTCCCTCTGAAGCCGACATGAGGACCCCGAGGGGAGAATCCACGGCATTCCCTGGCAGAGCACAAGACCAGCAGCACCTGCCACCAGCCTGCTGAACCCCAGAGGCACTTGCTCCCCTGTCACAGGCCTTCCACCCTTCCAGCATCACCCCAGCATCACAGGGGGACCCCGACACCCACTTGCCAGAGGACCACGCATGCCTCTCCCCACAACCCTTATCACACAAGCCCCTTCCATGTGGGGCGGTGACTTATGTTTTCCTCCCTTAAAAGAATCCAACTTAATGTTTGATCGTTTGATCCAGCCCACGTTCCTAAAATACAGCCAGACCTACCCACTCTTTTTCCCATTTCAAGGGGGACCCCGCTGCCCCACCCTGCTCTCCCAGGCTCCCCCCACACCTCCCCTGTGAGGGCTGGAGGTATTTCCAACCCCCGGGGCTGGTCGGGTACCGGCAGCGGTGGAAACAGCGCAGGAGCCACTGTCATTCTCTCCTGCCGCTGCGCATCAGCTGATGGTGAGAGGGAGGCAGGGACCACTCGCCTGGCTCCTTCCACGAGCTCACCCCAGACATGTCATCCATCCCGGCTTCCACTGCTTTGTCCTTGTCACAGCCTCACGCTGGGAAGACTTGGGAAGAGCCCCGGAGCCTTGCACCGGGAAGAGGCGATGGGGAGCCGGGCCGAGGTTATAAGCAAGCGCCCGGCCGCACCCCATTCCTCGGGAATTCCAGAAAGCCCTGCCAGTGGGGCTTCACCCCACCACAACCACGAGGGGCTCAGCCCATCTCTGTAAATGTTGCAAGGCAACTATTACAGCCCGCAGGGCAAATGCAAATGGGTTTAGCATCCTCGCTTCCCAACTGGCAAATACCTTCCCGCTGAGGCTGGAGCGTGCTCCCTCCTGCTGGAAGAGCTCCAGGGCCCTCCAGCTCCAGATGGGTGTGATCGAAGAGGGAGAGGGACTCGAGAGGCTCCATCTCCCGGCTCAGGCCTCGGCTGATCAGGGGGAGCTGCTTTTCCCTGTGCCCTTTCTCCAGCAGGGCTGGGGAGGAGGTGCAAGCTCTGTTCAGAGGATGACTATGGTTCAGCAACCTGGTATGCGCCTGGTGCAGAGGTGCAACACACTGCCCTCAAAGCAGATGTGGGGAATGGCTGCAGGCAGCCGAGCATCTACCCAAGCAGACACCTCCTTGCTTCTCTGGTCATAAAACGTCAAACATCACGATTCCTCCCAAGAAACCTAGAGCCAGAATTCCCAAACTCTAACCCTACGAGGCTGTCACAGAGCTGTGCGGTCTTTTAATGGGATGACAGCACAGAAGAACAGCCCCCCTGGGATCAGACACTTCCATCTTCACCCTTCCCCAGCGCCAACCATAGCTGATGTTTCATGTTGCACGGGAGAAAGAGATCTGAGCCACCCACAAAGGAAATACCATCCTCTGCCCAAAACAAACATAACCACTGGGCAGCCCACAGCTCTAACTGCTTCCCTTTGCGGCTTGGGCAAGGGCAAAATGGGCTCATAAGGAGGTGATGTGATGCTTCACACCCAACCCCTTCCCTGCCGCCCACAAGAGGGGCTGCCTGAAAATGGGGAAGGAAAAAAAACAAACCAGAAATGATGCAAAGGCAAGAAAGTTTTGGTGGAAGGATATTTCCTGCCCCTGACAACCCCCAAGCTGTAGATCCTTGGGTAGAGCTGAAGTGGGAACCAAGAACAGTGCAGAAATGTGAAGGACTTTCTGATCCCCTCAATCCGCACGCGATCGGGCCATGAAACGCGGTGGGAGCGGTCAAAGGATTTGGGGCTCCTTGCCCTCCACCGCGGCTCAGGGTGAGGCTTTGATTTCCACACACGGGGAAACCAAAGAGGGTTGGGGTGTACCTCCATCAGCCAAATCCCACCACCTGGCCCCCGCCCTGTGCCTGGCCCCCCCCCGAGCGGAGCATGCAGGGGGGCTGCGGGATAAGACGCTTGCGTGACCATGGGCAGAGACACTCATCCCCTGCCTTCTCCCACGGCCCCAGCTGGAAACACACCTTCCTTAATAACTGTGCCACCCCGGTGCCCGTGTCTCTAGCCATGATGCCCCCCTTCCTCACCCCTTTCAAAGCTTGCCCCCCCTTCTCCGTCAGCCCCTTGGTGATACCAGCTGGGGGTTCACGCTGGAGGTGGCAACCAACCTGGCTTCGGTCCCAGATGCCAAAATAAATGCCAAAATAACAACCGGAGGGGGTGAGAGGCTCAGTGGGGTGACAGCCGCTGGGGGAGGCTGTGGGGTCCCCGGGGGGGGGACTCCCCATCAACACCCCCATTCCCCGCATTGACCAAGGTGGAGGTGTTCAGCCCCATCTCCCCTTCCCCACCAGCCACGTGCTGACTCCAGCCTGGGACATACAGGGGGGTGGGATGATTTCCAGGTGAAACCCACCTCCCATTGAGGGGAGGAGACCCCTCCTGAGGGAAGGGGCAGGTAAACAGCCCTAACGGTGGCCCCCCCTCAGGGCTCTGCTCGCCATTAGCGCCCCCCTACCCCAGCCCTTCCCCTCCCAAAGGGGCAGGAGAGCCGCCGCCCCTCCCCGCCCTGCAGCTCCGCTCCCCCCGACCCCAACACCGGCCACCTGCGGGGCGGGAGGAGCCGCCACCGCCGCCGCCGCCACCGACCTCCCCACCACCCCCCCCACCACCTTCTCCGTTGCCTCCCCGCCGCCCCGGGGCTGGCAGCTCGGCAGCACCGCCCGCTGCCGGTACCGGCAAACTCACCTCCAGGCGGGCCAGGGGCAGGGAGAGGACGAAGGCGAAGACCACGCCGAAATTCATCCCGACTTCAGGCCCCGCCGGTTGCGGGCACATGGACGGCGAGCCCCCGGGGAGGGAGAGCGCTTCCCGCAGAGAGCAGCCCCGCGGCCGCCCGGGCTCAGGCATGGAGGGCGCCGCCACCCCCCATTCCCCCTCCGAGCCCGGCTGCGGGTGGGAGAGCGGCGGGAGCCCCCGGAGGAGGAGGAGGAGGAAGAAGGAGGTGGCGGTGGTGGTGGTGGGGAGTGAGGAGTAACGCTGGGTGACTCGCCTGCCTCCGCGCTATCTCATAAGCCCGGTGGAGAAAATAATGCAGTCCCTCGAAATAATTAGACGCATCCGGAGCCTGCGCCCCCCTGGCCGCAAGGGATGCTTCGCTGTTGCCTTTCTGCTAGGTGGTCCACATGCTGGTTTGCCCCTCTTGGGTTTCCTTCCTTCTTAAAATATACACGCGTGGAAGATTTTACATACAGGTAACGACAGCTGAATGTCCTCAGAAGGAGACGCACAAAATGATAATGAAAAACTTTTCCAAAGTTTGGTATGAAATCCAAAACATAAAATCTTCTTCCTTAAGGTGTCCTTTTCTTAAAATTCTCCTTTTCTTCTTTACGCCCGCTCGCTTTTTAGCGAAAAGTTGCTACCGTGCGCTGAATGCCTTCCCCTCGCATGAGATTCTGGCTGGGCTGCCTTCCCGGCTGAAGTGTCGCTGGGACCTGAGGTTTGCTTTGGGTTTGGAGACAGGTGAGAGCAAATGTTTTCGCTCTGGGTTGGTTGCGTGTGCGTGTGCGCTGAGCCTTGACAAGCCTCAGAGCGGAGCCGCTGCCGCCTCCCGCCCTCTGTTGCGACGAGAAAGGGAGAAGAAAAAAATAAAAATAATAAAAAGCTGAAAAGGTAAAATTGAAGGGGAGGCGAGCGAGCCGATGGGTCTTTATTTTAGCCTGCGAGCTGCAAGAGAGACTAAACTGGCACTTGGGGCTGCTCCTTTTATAAAGGAGAGGAGATGGGTGGAGCATAAACTTGCCATCCTCCTCTTGGCTGGGTATCAAGGCGAAAAATCTAGTGAGGGAGTAGCAGTCCACTGCTGACAAAATAAAAAGTGTGTTAATTTAAATGATAAATTAATTAAAAATGACTAATGCTGTAATAACCCACATAATGTGGCTTTAATACCGCCTGAGGAACGGGGACAGAAATTCCTTCCTCCTCGGCAAAAGATAAGAAGCAAAGAGTTCCCAGCATGGTAGTTTGTTATTTTTTTGGCCCTGGGTTCTCCCTGTTGTAGTCTGGAGACCATTTCTTTAAGCTCAGCTCGCCTTCTTCCCTGCTCTGCTACACCGCTAGCTCCAGGGAGAGAGACAGCTTTAATATCTTAAATCTCTTTGTGTGCAGGGGTGGGGGGAGGAAAAAAAAAAGCCAGAGAAATTTAAACGTTGCTAAAAGACAATCTGGTGTTGCTCGTGGCACTGGGAGGTATTTTGCTGCATGATTATCTCCACGATGTAATAAACATCTGAAGGGAAATTAAGCAAGCAGATATT